CTATTTTTTCGTACTCTTGAGCTCCACAGTCTTGCAACTCTAACCTAGATAAAAAGCTACCTTTGACATGAATAGTAACAAGCTGATTTTTGTATAGACGTGGAAACTCGCCATATTTGATTACTGGTTCTACTGCCAGTACTGGTATTTGACTGAACGTTGTTAACTGAACATATAATGGTGTAGAGTGGTTAGAGTAGCCGACAGGGGATCCTAAAGGTCATGGGTTCGATTCCTGTCTAGACGGTGTGTCCTTGGGAAAGGCGCTGTACACGAATTTCCTGACTCCACCTAGGTGCAAAATGGTAACATGACTTCAATTTGGGGAGGTCAGAGGCGGTAGAAGGAGAGGGATGGGCTCCATCTTTCAATAATGTACCCTAGACACAGTGGATTAACAACCCACTGCAATTATGGCCTCAAAATGGCTTCTGGACTATATTTACCATTAGAATGAATGGAAGGTTTGAATGAATGAAAGGTTTGAATGAATGAAAAGTTTCAATGAATGGAAGCTTTATTTATCAAAACACAAAGCAGCCACAGACAGATTTGCGTAAAATACACATGTTAAATTAAAAAGAAAACGTAAAAGTACATACTTAATATAAAGACCTTAAGCACAATTAAAATAAAGTCTCATTATTACTATGCATAGGCTTTTGGTATTTACGAATTCTAGACGAAGTCTTGATAACACTTGGTAACGTGTTATTCATTATTTCCTGTCTGCGTATTTTCATCTTTTGAATTTCAGTCTTTTTCGCGTTTGTTTGGTGTCAGATATTTAACAATCAGTTCCGGATAGTTTAACAATATTGTACTTTATAAAAAAGTTAGTATAAAGACTATGTAAGTTCAATGCATCCTCATTTGGGACTGTCACATTAAATAATAACTCTTTGCGTGCCTGATATCAATTAAAAAGGTTCGTATCAGGCCATGTCCTTTCTACCAATTGCCAACTTAACCGATACTGGCGAAGTCAAGTGGCCATCTTCTAAAGTACCGGTAGTACTTGAGTTTGCCACAACATTATTACTGGTATCTTTCAAGGATTCCTCCGTTTGATGTAAAGATATTCAACCTTCACTCAAAGAACACTTAAAGTACAACGACCTCAAACATTGCATATTAAACAAGAATTCTGATACCTCATACCTACATGTAATATTTAGAGCCTTTGTATTTTTTTGTTTATTTGTCTCATTGATCATGGAAATGTGATAAAGTAGTATAATCAATTTCATACATGGTTTTCTAAATTGGAATTACATGCATTTTATATGTGAAAGTCCTATTTGTTGGCAAGGTTTCATTTCAACATTTCATGATAAATTATGCAAATGACCTTCACATTAACATAATATATGCATAAGATTGTTAACTTTACCAATGAAGGCCTCTTTAAGTTATGATGAACACAAATATGCTTAAACACAGAAACAGACACACACAGATAGAACAAAAGCAATATTAAAGAAAATATAAGATGTGACTGGTATTCTGTAACCATACTATCAAACCATGCGTTATTTTCTAGGCAAATGACTCAATTAATGAGAAAGGTGTTCATTGAAGAGAAGTTTTTTGCGACAAAACAGCATATTCGTGACCTACGTTTGAACAGTTATCCTGCCAATTATTAATAACACTTAAAATATGGTTGGCACTTCGATATTGGTAAAATCAATGATGTTAATGGAAAGGAGGGTACGAGTACACTTGAAATACAATGTAACTGCCTATTGCCTTACATAAAGGCAATAACTGCCTATTGCCTTACATAAAGGCAATAACTGCCCATTGCCTTTATGTAAGGAAGGTCATGCACTGTTTCATCGTTTGACTCTTTAGATATCCAAATTTCAGCAAGTTTCTCCACAATTAAGGGTCAATGACCCGCCCTCAGGTGTATGCGGTGTGATAAAGCCTAGTCAGTTGCTATAATCACCGAGAGAGCGTAGCTAAGTGATGGGAAATATGTTTTCTTTCCTTCCGCATAACACCCACATGTATTGACATGGTCTTTGTTTTGTTATGAATGTTGTTAATGAATGTAGACCTCTAAGCAAAAAGAAGTAGTCTATATATACATTCACATGTATCAAGCTACCACTATCAAGTGTGGTGGGCTCTTTAACGAATTCTAAATCACAGGAACTTCAGCTTTAAGTCCTATCCTAGAGGACGTCCCTAACCAAAGATAGATACTCATATTCACCTAGGTCGACTGGGAAGTAGGTGTGAAGTGCCTTATCCAAAACACTTGGACCTGTTAAGGATTCGAACCCGAAACCTTCAGATACTGAGCTCGAAAATCCTAACCACAAGACCACCGTGTATGTAAGATGACAGTTGGTATTCTATTCACACTACATATAAAAAGTTATAAAATCCATACTGAGTGACTACAAAACACAGTAAACATGGATTTTTAAACTTTATTGAAACTAATAACACAATACATGACCAAAACATCATATCATGTCAAATACAGATATCACTACAACTTTAATTAGAAGACAAAATAGAACTGGCAATATCCAAAGTTGTACACAAAAGGAAACTATACAAGAGATCTGGCTAGTTTTAGATCTGGCAAAATTCAGACCGTATCGTCTGTATCAGTATTTCTTGTGTTATTACTCAATATCCATGACAAAGTATTAGACAAGTATACAACAACAACGATGTTGATAACAGGACAATATAAATGATTAAAGTTAAATTACTGACCTACGATAATCATTAATAACATTTTTTTACTTAATTTACTAGTACATATTCACCACGAAACAAGGCTCATGAGAGCCACTCAAATGTTTTGGTTACTCTACTAGACTTGGTACCACAAACATCGATGTCTCATACTTTTGTCCATGTATTACAAGTGAAAATGCATTCACCAACAATATACTAGATATATTAAATACATAAATTCCTTAACCATTATGCGGGACAAATTCACTCAAAATGCTGCTAAGAAAAGAGGAACATAACGTCAAACACCTTTAAACTTCTTCTACTGCTATAAATATTGTACAGTGAATTCTATGAAGGTAAATGTGTGTAAAGAAAATCTCGTCGCAGATTATATAGATATAATAAATCTCGTCGCAGATAGTGATATAATAAAAATGTCGTTCATGCTGTTGTTCCTACTACGCTCTGATATATTTGTGAATCCCTGTGGAAATAGGTTTTAAAATATTCATCTGGGAAACTGTTATTAAAAAGAGAATGACCTTCCATTGCAATTGTTATTCATTACATAACACAACATTCCTGGGTCAAAATCCAAGATACATCCGTGAACAAAGTTTTTATCGAAGAAAAAGCATCGCCCTTTCTGTTAGATGGAAATCTGACGTTTCATTTCCTGCAGATCAATCATAGCCCTGTTAAGGTCAAATGTAGATGGAATAACTTTTCTATAACAATAGAGAGCAGTGTTTGAGTTTGAGTGTACTGTGCTGATAAGCTCTCAGGCCTAGGAAAAAGAGTTTTGTGTTTCCTGTTTCCCGACCGACCCTAGAATTAACTGCCGACCCTAGCCTTATCCTAGCCTGCAAGGGACATAGGTTTTTCGAGCTGATCAACCTTTTCTAGCTCCATGATATGACACCTGAGTGATGAAACGTTGAACAATCAGTTTTCCAACAACGACATTGAAAGTGCAAGTGTCCACATGCAAGTTCCACATGCAAGTTCTACTTTGTTAAAGTGTATTATAGAAGTTGGACCACTAGAGATTGGCAAAGTCTAATAAAAAAGAAAGGAAAAAAAGGATAATCCCTGCCTAACGACCCTAATTTTTTTAGGACTGAAACAGGAAACACAACATTTTTCTCCAAAGCCTTAAAATTGTCGTTAGGGTTAGATTACCCTGTCAGTTAGCAATCGAAATATGCTATTGCCTCACAACCTACCCAATAATGCACACACACACCCTTAGTGCTGTAGGCCAGATACATTGTACCATTATTAGGTTTTGTCATTGAAGGTTATAGTTAAATACGCTAAAACAAGGGCTATAGTTAAATACAATAAAACAAAGGCTATAGTTAAATACAATAAAACAAAGGCTATAGTTGAATACATGCAATTCAAGTTCAATCTCAAGAATTTTCTCATGTATCCATCCGCCAAGGGAAGGAAAGACCTCGTCATTCAGGTCTCTCATTATTCCTATTAAATTGGTGAAATAAACAAAATTTGAAAAGTATGAAAAGTATGAAAGTTTAGAGCCAACTTGTTCCTTCTAGCCCATAGGTCTTTAAACTGGACCAAAATTTGCAGGAGAAAAAAGGATTTTCAAAGATATTAACTTGGGACTACAATTGTGTTTCCATTTTGGGCCCTTTGCTACAAACTGAACACTATATCAATTCTAGAACAGTGTAATACCGCATGTTTTAAAATTAATCAACTTACAAATCAGAATTGAGACTGCAGTCACATTAATAGATCGTTGTTTACAGATCATTTTGTCATTGTGTAATTCTATGTATTTTAATAAGCTTTCACCGTATTTTAGTTAGAAATGACGAAATGATTTTAACGATATTATTAAGCAATGTGCAATTTGCAATTATTAAGCAATGAGCAATCAAGGACCCCATTCCCAGGTCCCTGGTATTCTGAACAGAAAGCCGTATAAACAATTATTATTATTATTATTAGTAGTAGTAGTATCATCATTATTATTATACAAAATTCCAGCTCATCTGCTAAGGACTGAGGAACAGGGCTTAGACATCAAAAATATGATATCATCTACATTTGTATTTTTACGTGTCTACGTCGAAACCATGATAGATATATCCGTTCTTATAACTAGTATATACATATGCGTGTAATAATACAAATGGACTTTCGCATCAATCAGCCAAAAGTCCAATCTTCATCACTGTGAAACTTCTGTTTCATCTCTCCGATTATAGAAATTGTATTAAAGCAGCTCTCTTCCCAAGTAAAGTTAACATATTGCTTTGGCTAATACATTATTTATCTTTATAGTCTCTTTTTGTCTTTTGAGAAAATTCTTTCTGGAACATAATTGCTTCCATCGGTGCGATAGAAAGGCAAATTCATTTGTCAGTGAAGACACATGCATTTATATTTGTATGTGTTCATATTTATATTCATTATTCGTTCATATGAAACAGTTATCCTAATTCTGCCAGTCTGCCAATAAAAGGTGTTTCTTCATGATAAAGGAAGTAAATGATTATTGATATCGGTTATCATTTTGTAACATGCTTTGATATATAGTTTCATTATCAAATAGGTGTGTGTGGTTTGAAATAGTGAAATTACGCCTGTTCTTCTGAATCACAGTAGCTCATGGTTACTTTGGTAGATGTATCTTTGGCATTGAAGGTGACAACAATAGGCCGTGCGGTCGACGAGTTTCCGTGCAACCGCCTGGCCTGTGACTTGCCAATGGTAGCTCCAGTACAAGCAGATCTTTTGAAAGATATAGCATGATTTGGGGGCGGCTGTTTGAACAGGCACGGGAAGGATAGCTTAATGCATCGTCGGTAGTTTTCCCCTAACAGGGTGTACACAAAAGGGTTGACCGCAGAGTTGGAATAACAGAGAATCAGGGCAACGGTTTTGAGCCACTTGGTTGTTTCTGAAATGTGCTTCATGTGGGAATCTGTATGAAAGACAGCCCACACGTTCATGATGTGGTTGGGAAGCCAGCAGAAGGCGAAGAGGACCACCACACCCACCACCATGCAGGAGGTTCTGCGGGCCTGCCTGGCGTGGGCGTCCGCCTTCTGAGCGTGGCTGGCGCTGAACCGGTTGAGGATGCTCTGGACGATGAAGGAACAGCTGATGGTGCAGAAGACCAGCGGGATGACATAGGTGATGAGGAAGGTGTACACCATGTAGCTTCTCCGTGCAGACTGGGTGGGCCAGTTCTCCAGGCACATCTCCTGTCGGCCGAAGTTGTAATTCTCCACCTCCTGGACCTGAAGGCTCATGCCAAGGGGCAGGGCAAGGAGGAAGGAACCTAACAGTAGAAAAAGACGAAGCAAAACATTAGCTTAGGTACTTTACAAAACGTTAACTTGACTTGACTTACACTTACGAATAAAACAAAATGAAACAATTGAGAAATGAATAGATATGTATGGGATGGCCGGAAACCTGGTGGTTTATCTTTGGTCTTCCTCAATACTAAGAACATTAAAAGATACATTTGTAAATTACTATAATAAATAAATACCAAATTTGAAACAAAGAAAACAATAATAGCAGGAAATAAACAAAACGATACAAAGAACTAAATGAAATAATACAAACCATCTATCTAAACAAAGAAAGAAAGAAGATCAAACTATATAGACTACTTACGTTTTATAATCGTCAGTACAAACATAAAGTATATGGGTAAGTAGTAAAATTAACAAAACAAGGAAAGCGAACAACCATGGTAGACCATGAACATATCTGGCGTACCTATCCATGTGCAGCCACTGGTGATGGCAGCCACCTTGCGGGTGCGGAAGTTGATGGAGCGCAGCGGGTGAACGATGGCACAGTACCGGTCAATACTCAGTACCGCAAGGGTGATGCACGTCGACTGAACAGTCACCTGTGTATCAAAACAAAGAAGGAGGGTAAATTTTGAGTTCAGAACGATGAAGCATATGATAACATAGATCTTAAGGCTACACTATGTAACATAGGATAATACAAAAAGTAAATTTTCTAGTTATTCATAGTCAAAATAAGTCGAAGCAACTATACTCCATTGCAAATAAGTGCCATTTAGGAAGTGTAGGTGCCAAAATATGACGCCTTTATAACTGTGTCTTTAAAAGCTGGAAACACAGCTGTCAACTATGTTCCAGCTATGTTTGTCTACAGTCTGGTAGTTTGTGGTGGTACCACTAACTGTGTGCGCCTCGTGTGGGCAATTTGAGATAATTGCACTAATACGCTGAAAAGTGGAAATAGATAACAATAACATGAATATTTCTTTAGATAAAATGTTTCAATTTTTGGTGCAAAATGTTACACAATGCCCCCTTGAAGGAATATGACTTGTGAGAATTGATAATTTGAGAGGCATTGGGTGATTTCACTGATCCTTTATGTACATGTTTGCTTCAGATGTCCCAAGACAGCTTGTTATCACGTAGTTACTAATATTTACCTTTCACAATACTAATTGCTCATTACGTTAAGTACATAGATGTAATTATCTGATGTTTTAATAGATATTCATAGAGCTCTCAAGGGGATTATTAATCAACCATGACAACTTCTTATCTTTGCTTTTTGATATGGGGAGGAATACATTTGTTTGAAGTATATCGTTCAGTTAAATGATTGACAAAAGTACTTCCTTGCTTTTCTTTCAAGGCATTTTACAACTGCGTAATTGAGTCTTGGCAGGTAGCTTGTTTACTATACTACATTGACGATTTGATATCTGCTTTGTTTAGTTTTGTTTTGAAGTGGAAACGGTCCCTCTTTACAACTCACTTTGAAAGTCGGAACCAATATGTATCCGTTGAGCATACTATGGTGTTGGGTTTAAAACCTTTGGCTATAATGTATTTCCCTTATACAATAGAAACGGTTTTAAATAATTTTTAGTAGTAGCTTGTTTACCATACTACATTGACATTTTGATATCTACCTTGTTAACTATGGACATTGGAAACGGTCCCTCTTTACATAACTCACTTTGAAAGACGGAACCAACATTGTACTATATATGCATGGACAATGAAAGGGTGTGACAACGTTTTACTCTACTGGCTTCAGAAATTGAATTTCTGGACAGTCGATTGCCTTGTATAAACGCCAATAATACCTACTGGAGAAATTACCAACAGTGCATGGAGGACATATGCAAGAATACCCAAAACAGCTTTAATGTGGAGACCCGATGGGAAAAGAAACAGAGGCAGACCCAAAACCACCTGGACAAGAACTGTAACGGGTGACCCGGCGGACATGGGACTATCCTGGCAATCAGCAATTGCAAAGTGCCCAAGGACGGATCCGGATGGAAGAAAAATAGTCACGCATACGCCTTGTACCTCACAAGGGATGAAGAGTCAGTAAGTAAGTAAGTAATACTCACTGACTATACGACAGAAAACAGGCCGCCTTTCTTATAAGTAATCACTCTTGTACATAGTGACGAAATCCACAGATTTTTTAACTTTAAATACTTCACTTTACCCAAGTACATATTTCGTGCAAAAGTGGGGCTTGTTTGATGTACGACCTAGAAGGGAAGTGCTGCGGAAGTAATCAATTCTTCAGATACACGTAATACTAATAGGGCTCATTGGGATGAAAGATAGGAAAAACTTCAATGAGCACGTCGCGACACGGAAAAGCTTTTCATCACTAGACTGAAAATAACATACAAGAGACTATTATGTATATTGCATTATATACGTGTTTGCACCTATAATGATTCAGAATTTTGTACTTCTTCACCTTACCTCCCACTGCATTAGTGAGCTTTATATAGACAAATAGTGTTAGTAGACTAATTTAGAATAGGAAATGCGTGGCGAATTGAAGGCGAAGGCGAATTGAAGGCGAATTGAATTTCACTTTGATCCTACAATAACAGGAATATTTCTTTAAATATAACATTTCAATTTTTGGTGCAAAATGTTACATAAATGCCCCCTTTAAGGAAAAGGATTTGCGAAGATTGATAATTTGGAAGGCATTGGGTGATGTAAGATTTCATTGATCATTTATGTACATGTTTGTTTCTGATGTCCCAAGACAGCTTGTTATCACGTAGTTGCTAATATTTACCTTTCACAATACTAATTGCTCATTACTTTAAGTACATAGATGTAATTATCTGATGTTTTAATAGATATTCATAGAGCTCTCAAGGGGATTATCAATCAACCATGACAACTTCTTATCTTTGCTTTTTGATATGGGGAGGAATACATTTGTTTGAAGTATATCATTCAGTTGAGTGACTGACAAAAGTACTTCCTTGCTTTTCTTTCAAGGCATTTTACAACTGCGTAATTGAGTCTTGGCAGGTAGCTTGTTTACTATACTACATTGACGATTTGATATCTGCTTTGTTTAGTTTTGTTTTGAAGTGGAAACGGTCCCTCTTTACAACTCACTTTGAAAGTCGGAACCAATATGTATCCGTTGAGCATACTATGGTGTTGGGTTTAAAACCTTTGGCTATAATGTATTTCCCTTATACAATAGAAACGGTTTTAAATAATTTTTAGTAGTAGCTTGTTTACCATACTACATTGACATTTTGATATCTACCTTGTTAACTATGGACATTGGAAACGGTCCCTCTTTACATAACTCACTTTGAAAGACGGAACCAACATTGTACTATATATGCATGGACAATGAAAGGGTGTGACAACATTTTACTCTACTGGCTTCAGAAATTGAGTTTCTGGACAGTCGATTGCCTTTGTCTAAACGCCACTAATACTTACTGGAGAAATCACCAACAGTGCATGGAGGACACAAGAATACCCAAAACAGTCTAATGTGGAGACCCGATGGGAAAAGAAACAGAGGCAGACCCAAAACCACCTGGACAAGAACTGTAACGGGTGACCCGGCGGACATGGGACTATCCTGGCAATCAGCAATTGCAAAGTGCCCAAGGACGGATCCGGATGGAAGAAAAATAGTCACGCATACGCCTTGTACCTCACAAGGGATGAAGAGTCAGTAAGTAAGTAAGTAAGTAAGTAAGTAATACTCACTGACTATACGACAGAAAACGGGCCGCCTTTCTTATAAGTAATCACTCTTGTACATAGTGACGAAATCCACAGTTTATTTAACTTTAAATACTTCACTTTACCCAAGTATATATTTCGTGTAAAAGTGGGGCTTGTTTGATGTACGACCTAGAAGGGAAGTGCTGCGGAAGTAATCAATTCTTCAGATACACGTAATACTAATAGGGCTCATTGGGATGAAAGATTGGGAAAACTTCAATGAGCACGTCGCTACACGGAAAAGCTTTTCATCACTAGACTGAAAATAACATACAAGAGACTATTATGTATATTGCATGATATACGTTTTTGCACCTATATGATTCAGAATTTTGTACTTCTTCCCCTTACCTCCCACTGCATTAGTGAGCTTTATATAGGCAAATAGTGTTAGTAGACTAATTTAGAATAGGAAAGGCGCGACAAATTGAAGGACTTCCGCGTGATGGAAGTTTTCACTTTGATCCTACAATAACAGGAATATTTATTTTGATATAACATTTCAAATTTTGGTGTAAAATGTGACACAACTGCCCCCTTTAAAGAAAAGGATTTGCGAAGATTGATACTTTGAGAGGCATTGGGTGATGTAAGATTTCATTGATCATTTATGTACATGTTTGTTTCTGATGTCCCAAGACAGCTTGTTATCACGTAGTTGCTAATATTTACCTTTCACAATACTAATTGCTCATTACGTTAAGTACATAGATGTAATTATCTGATATTTTAATTGATATTCATAGGGCTCTCAAGGGGATTATCAATCAACCATGACAACTTCTTATCTTTGCTTTTTGATATGGGGAGGAATACATTTGTTTGAAGTATATCATTCAGTTGAGTGACTTCCTTGCTTTTCTTTCAAGGCATTTTACAACTGCGTAATTGAGTCTTGGCAGGTAGTTTGTTTACTATACTACATTGACGATTTGATATCTACCTTGTTTATTTTGAACAGTGGGAACGGTCCCTCTTTACATAACTCACATTGAAAGTCGAAACCAATATGTATCCGTTGAGTATACCATGGTATTGGTTTTCAAGCCTTTGGCTATGAATGTATTTGCTCTTATGCAATAGAAACGATGACCTTTTTACTCAAAATGTATAAGAAGTAGCTTGTTTACCCTACTACATTAACGTTTTGATATTATCTACCTTGTTTGAACACTGAAAACGGTCCCTCTTTACATAATTCACTTTGAAAGTCGGAACCAACAAGTATCCATTGAATGCACTATGGTACATGGTGTTGGTTTTCAAATACATTGCCCTTATACAATATAAACAGTGACCTTTTTAATCAAGGTTTACAAGTTGTCCTTTGATACATGTACTTAAACTCTAGCCTGACGAAACCGCGCTCCTGGCGGCCGCCAAGATCCGCTTTCCGAGCGGATCTTGGGGAGCGAACGAAAGCTAACAAGGCTGACACTCAGGCTAGCCTCCAACCCGAAGGTGGCCACCCTTAAAGGGCGGGGTCATCAACCTCCGTTCGAGAGCTTGTGCAACACAGGCTATTCAAACTGAAGATATCAATTAATCTCCAAGCAAAGGTTTATGCTTCGCTTAAATTTTGGCGTGTTTTAGGCGTTTTTATGGAGCTCTTTTTTGTAATGCTAATTTTTGCCAGCCTAACATGGCAATCCCTTGGCAAATGGATACTGCCTGACCAATTTCATACTTTCTTTGCAGTCACCAAATGATCTGCTTGGAGATTAGACATCAAAGACCTTCACATTCTCCCTGTGCAACATGGTAGAAAACATAAATGTAGCTCGAAGCTAAGTGACGACAATAATGGTCTCTTGTGTTTTCAGATAATGATGCGTTATATTTAAAATAGAATCTTCCCATTAACGTTTCGAGTTCAACCTGCGTTGAAAGCATTTGAGACGTCTGGCCAATTCCGGCTGCAACAACTCTTAGTCATTGACATTTTACACCCTCCGCCTAGACGTGCTCATCCAAAATGTCATGCCCCCAAAAAATCCATCAACATCTGCAGAACCCATCCAGAGAGTCTTATCAAGTAGGGAGCTTTGAAAACCTTTTAAGAACATGTCAGGGTCGATATAGTATATGTCTGAAGATAAGAACATTAGGGAGAAATTACCTACAGTTTGACATTAAAAGCGTTGAAGAACTCGTCTCTCGGTAAGATATCGATTAACAGCTGGAGAAGACAATTACCAAAATCTATCATCTGCAGCGTCAAAAAATATGTTATTTTCGGCCAAGAATTTTTTCATCAGGCTTCTGCCATGTTTATTCATGAGGTGCAGACATATATATATATAGAATATTGGTGACGGTTGTTTTTGGTTCCAGAATAAGGGACAAAGTTGAGAGCCTCACATCTTTTAATAGAAAAATGTCATCGACATTTGTCACGATGTAACAACAGCTCTTCAAACAATACGTGGAATTTTTCCCATATGATTTTGCAACGGAGCTTTGACAACATTTCAAATATAAACGAATGTCTTTGTATTCTTACATGGAAGTTGTTATGAAACACCGCTATATTGAATAATTGAAAAAAGTACAATATCTATAAAATAAGAAATGTACATTTCAATGCCTATTCTTATTTATCAATTCATTTTATCTATTCATCTATTTTATCCTTTGCTTAAGCCCAGAGTCCATATAAAAGACAGAAACAAAAGCAAGCATACAAATACACATAGATAATTTGGATAGCATATGTCAGTGCGGCCAGAGAAGACTTTGTGTGAAGACATCTGAATGGCAAAGCTGTTTTTCGATGCCAGAATGCTTACGATTTGTAGGCTACTCAGCGAGTGGTAGTAGTAGCAGACTGTTTTATTGAACTCTTGTTCACATTAGCAGTACTGACCAGCCTCGTGGTAGCATTATAGACGTATTTACGTCTATTTGAGGTACTTTTTTTAAACGATTTTGACACGGAATATGATGCCATATCCTGGCAGCTAAGACAACTTGAAGAAAAAAAATACATTTCTGACCTGTATCATATAGAAGACGATGGTGCACATGGTTGAGCCGAAGATCCACCGATACGTCAGGTAGTTGATGGAAGTGAAGGGGATACAGCACACCAGGAAGGCCAGGTCCGTGACGGCCAGGTTGACGATGTAATAGTTGGTGACGGTTCTCATCTCGCTGAAGCGGGCCACGATGTAGATCACCAGCGAGTTGCCGACGCCGCCGATCAGCAGGATGACTCCGCAGACGGACGGCATGACATACGCCACGGCGCCGAGCCCGTCATCGGTCTGGTTCCCTGCCCTACTGGTGTTCCCGATGAAATCTTCAGTCAAGTTGTCCATCTTTCTCTCTTTCTCTCTCTCTCTAGTACACCTAGGGAGGCAGCCAGTCAGAAACACCAACCCCGGCGGATAGCTATCCTCATATATACCGTAACTCTATGAATTTTTAATGAGCATCCCAACACCCACGCACGTGTCCATAACGCACACCTGACTATAGGCCAATAGGTGAGGAAAAAAGGTAACCCGTACTTCAAAGAATTACACGGGGAAAACATGCTATTGAAAACCACTCAAGCATAACATACGTGGGAAGCATTAAAGAGAAGTTTGTTTCTTTGTAGTTCAATCGTCCACGTAGCATCAGTAATGTAGAATGGAATCGCCTGGTAACCAAACCTAATTTAGCTGCCGAGTCTCTTTCGTCGACCTCTTCTCAATTATATTGCAAAAAGTCTAACAGGTATATTCGAAATTAGATCACGAAGAGGACGGAAGAGCCACGGTAGCTAAATTACGGTCGGATAACAGGCCAAAGACTATAATCGATGCAATCAGTGCAACTATATAAAAAAATTGAACCAACGAAGTCATGCGAATACACTAGCATATTAACGAGCCGAATCGGAGACAACACGGTGCTTCGACGAACCATCCAACTAATTTGGGTTAGGATTAGGATTAAGGTTAGGCTGAGGGGATGAAATCTTGAGGCACATTAACCCCATCCCTAACCCTAATCCTAACCGTATCCGTAACCCTTATTAGTTCGTCGAAGCACCGTGTTGTCTCAGATTTGGCTCGTTAATATGGTAGCGTATTCGCATGACTACGTTGTTTCAGTTTTTGCTATAGTTGCCCTGTTTGCATTGATTGTCTTTGGGTTGGGTTAGGGTTGGGGTTAGGGTTACTTCAAGATTTTCCTTTGTCATCTCCGTGTACTGCTTTCTGGGTGTTTGTCTGTCTTGTCTGCATTTATGAATTACTAAAGATCAAAACACGCGAATGAAACTAGCTGTACACTGCGGCAGACATCCTGACATTATACCACGCAAGCGTGTCCTTTGAGAACCCCTGAAAGATCAAAGAAGTCGAGGGAGACCTAGGATTAACTCCACTGACAACTTCAGATCAGACACCAGTCTGATAGAAGTAAAGAAATCCAGTCTCTTGCGGAGGATCGATTGAAGTGGGGGACCTATGATTTTCATGAAGGTGACAGACGGTCATAAAGACGTCGACTCGTATCAAGCAAATGGTTGTGAATAAAGAAACTTTGCTACTCATTTACCTTCAAGTTTGGTTCTCAAAGCTTGGAGCTCAAACGTAGTAATATAAAGTCATGATAGTGTAGTTTCATATGCTAGTCATGTCTCACCATAAATTGGCAGAGAATACAAATAGTGAATACAGTCCCTAACTCCCCGTGCCCTTAGGTTCGACTTAATGTTAGGATTCTACTGGAACAATAGGTCACACTACGGGCAATGTAATGCATAATCAACATCCCCTAGCTAACGCTATCACACATTATCATCTAGACAGAAATGGAGTATTGACCGATGGTAGCACCTTCGACCCTAGTTGCTGATGAGCTGTGAGGCTTGTTATGCTCTATTGCCGCTCTATTGCCCCAAATGTGTAAATGGATGTCCCCACTTGTGTTGAACAGACGGACACGGACGGCTGTAAGCCAACTAGAGAACTGGGATCCTCATATGATGAAGTTCCACAAGCAAACATGAAATCGTACAAAGGGAGTTTACAGTAGCAGGGTCCAGTATAATGCACTGTGGAACCAACTTACCAAAGAACAATGAAAGCTCACAACTCTAACAGCTTTCAAAAACTCACTGTGACCGGAACGGGCAGCTATCAAGCCATGGACTGAGGGACAAATGTTATAGACACGATTACAATGTATATGTTGTTATTGTGTGTAATCTTTTCCCATTCATAGTATGTATTTTATTGTCCCAGAGATACCTAAAAAACAGGTCAAAAGACCTGAGTGTAATCATATGGTAAAATAAATAATGAAATGAAACGAAGGATTACCCGATTAGTATAAAGTAAAATATGACGTAAAACATCTGTAAGATTTGTGTATTATAGTAACAGGGATGGCGGTTCTGGAAAGAGCTGCATGTCATCGCCAATGACAGGTAAACTTTGCCTTAAACCTGTGACAAGTTGAGTCGGCAGGGCTTTTAACAGGGCCCTTTCGAATATTTTGTTAAGTGGATTTTCAAAGTCAGAGTGACCAGATAGGGTTTTTGTTAAGTACTGCATTTGGCAGGATCAGGAAGCGGGGAGCTTTACCCGGAACAACTCACATAACTCACATTATGGGACCAGAAATCCTTATATCAAAGTCCACTAGATTTCGCATTATTGTAGCCATTTCTTTGCGAGCTATGTCCTGTCGAACATCAGTAGTTGAGGGTACGTACCAGAAACACATGAGACTGGGTGCGTTTTTTTCCAGAAGCTTTTTATGGGTTTGGACAATGCTTGTGCTTGTTTGCTTGTTTTTGTTATTTATTATCTCATGTAATCATCAACTATTTATTTTGTTTATGAGTTACTGTATACTACTTTGACATGACCCCCAATTATCATGTATATGCTAATTTATAATAGATCTAACTATGCTACCTGTACTTCGATTTATGTTATTTGTTATTAGGCAGAGGGCGGCCCTGTACGAGGTGGAGGGATAGTCTTGTGCAACACCTGGGCCTTGCTTGGCCCAGATACGCCAGACTGAGAAGAGAGTGGAGCGAGTCAGGGGAGGGGTTCCTCCGTAGGAGCGATGATGTCCTGGATACTCTCATCTAATCACACCAATCTAAAGACTCATGGGACAACCCACAGTACACTACCCTATTGTGTCCGTCTGCTGAATGACAGTTAAAGTAGTAGAACTGTTAGTCGTGATGATATTGTTTTTATGTAATTTTATAGTGATTTATGTCTTTGTTATTTCTGATTTGCAATGCTTTATGCTGATAAGCACACGATTTTAGTGGAAAAAAACGCAATTCAGCATTTTTGCTGCAAGGGTTTTTGTTGTTGAATAAACCATTCTCTCTCTCTCTCTCTCTTGTTCGTGATATGAATAAATATAAAACAAATAAATTCCATGAAGACTACCTGCGAGGATTTGTAAAGAACACTACCTAGTCTTAAAACCGGAGACGGAGGCTGTCTAGACATAAGTTCCAAATATAGTTCCAAAGTTGACCTGCATGTTCCTCGGTACAGCTCTATTGTGCATGTTTTCCAATGGGAGCTCCTCGCCTAGAAAAGAACGTGGCTCGCAAGAAAAAATGGAAGAATGAGATTTCGTGGACATTGTTATGCCCAAAAATATGAGTTATGTCACCCCCTTCTGTGTATTAACCCAAGCACCCCCCCTCTGAACATATGGATCAATAACAGTTGTTATTTATCATTATTTATGGCCTGCCTCTAAAGATTTTATTTTATGTTGCTATTTTAACATTTATTACAAGACATGGCGACGGCACACGCATTTTGTTCACCCTTTAAACGCAGACAAACATATAAACGGACAACAGACCTACTCATTTTCACATTCGTGCCAAGTGCCTTTCTCAAGAGCACAAGATGGTGGCATGGCGAAATTCGAAATTAGCACCTCTTGGTTCCAAAGATAGTTATAAAGTTGACCTGCATGTTCCTCGGTACAGCTCTATTGTGCATGTTTTCCAATGGGAGCTCCTCGCCTACAAAAGAACGTGGCTCGCAAGAAAAAATGGAAGAATGAGATTTCGTGGACATTGTTATGCCCAAAAATATGAGTTATGTCACCCCCTTCTGTGTATTAACCCACCCCCTCTGAATATATGGATCAATAACAGTTGTTATTTATCATTATTTATGGCCTGCCTCTATAGCTCTCTAAAAGATTTTATTTTATGTTGCTATTTTAACATTTATTACAAGACATGGCGACGGCACACGCATTTTTTCACCCATTGAACGCAGACAAACACATAAACGGACAACAGACTTACTCATTTTTACATTCGTGATAAGAGCCTTTCCCATGGGCACAAGATGGTGGCATGGCGAAATTTGAAATTAGCACCTCTTGGTTCCGAGCCAAACGCTCTGTCGTTACGCCACACAACCCCACATATAGGGTACTAGGGGAATTTTTATTTTATTTCCTCATACGGATACAAGCATTCATTTCCTAACGTCAATTAGGTTACGATTCGACATTGGATGAAAGCCCTTACTTATGTAACATCTTCAGCATTTGCCCGAGGCCAAGTTTTACAAAGAAAACATGTCTGTCCTGAGAGACATAGAGTTATGTGATCGGGTTATATGTGTAGCATAACTAACAGCTACAGGTCACGCAATGCACGAAAAATGGGAAAGAAAATTCTGCAATCTCACATTTTTCAGGTTCACATAGCTTTATCAGCATTTGCGTAGTATCGCATCGTTTGAAGCGTTCACAACGTAAATGAAATAGATTGATCTTTAATGTTTTTCCATTCCGCTTGTCGGTTGCTGATTTCTTCTGAACCCTTTAAATACTACAATCTATAATCATTTCAAAGCCGTTTCAAGTTTTACGCTTCCATGTACCAAAATGTGTACTTTCAATCCGCGTGTGCCAAAACGTAATACTTTGTACTGTGCATGGCGTGGGCGATGCGTAATGGACAGAGCGTTAACCTCGGAACCAAGAGGTCCCGGGTTCGATTCCCTGACGTTCGACCGATGCTGATCCATTGAGAAAAGCACCTTACACGACTTTCCTTACTTCACTCAGGTTAAAATGAGTACCTAGGTTTGGCTAAGTTAAATAGAGGTCCCGTGAGAACCACACGTTAAAGAACCCACCACACCTTTCGATAAAGAGCAAGGACATGCCCCGGTGTGAGTGCTTCGAAACTCAGTGCCAACTCATACACGAGTGCTAATTGCAAATACAAAAGTAACATTTGATATGAGCACAAGGAAGTACTACATAACTAGACACAGAAAAAAACACCGTAACTCCTAAATCTACTCCT